ATAAGGAAATGGAAGAAATCATTTTACATTGGTTCAATTTCTCAGAATTCTATGTCCAATTATTTTTCTTCTTCTCGAATGTGATTTATCAATTCCATGCTTATTGTCGTGTATTGTTAAGATGAATGAGGAAGAAGAATTGAAATTGGTCGGAATTGAAGTTATCGCATTAAGCTAAATGAGGGATATCAAAAATGTCAAAATCATATCATCTAAATTAATCTTATCTGATTTGCGATCTGATCGGACAAACCTTACTTCTTTAACAATCAAGATAATGTGTTATATATGATTGTGTCTATGGAAGGAAACCAATTTTATTTAACGGCCAATGCCATTCTGCACTTGTACTATCCAAATTTAAAATAAAAAGAAATTTTTACGACGGACCATATATAGCATAGCTAACAAAGCTAAACCTCAAAAATTTTCGTGTGAATTTTCTTTTCATTCTCCAATCCCATCAATCCCATATGTTTGCCTCTTTTCACATCTCATTTCGACAGTTTGTTAGATGTTAAACACAAAGAATCGCAGTCATTCATCATTCATTATTCGTTAGCATAATCATCATCATCATCATCGTTGTTATCGCTATCACTGCCATTATCAAAGTGATTAGCGAAAGCAGTAATGGTAGTTGTGGTAGAGGAATTCTGGTTAGAAAGATGGCATTATGTAGCATGGAACATATTGTATGGTTTCTTTGATGGTTAGTTATCCCATGTGGCTTTTGCCTATGCAAGCAAGCAAGTAAACAAGCAAGCTAGCAAGCAAGCGGGCAGGCAAGCAAAGAATAGCAATACATTTTGTAGCAAGCAAACATCCACAAACATCTACCGGCCGATCAACTATTCCCCTATCCACCACATGTGGCTTTATCCCCTCTGATATCGTCATTCATTCAATTCCATTCCACTCCATTCAATTCCATTCCATTCCATTCAATTCAATTCCATTCTTACATTACATTTCTCCATTCTATTCCATCACGATATACCTCAGTTTTTCATCCGTTCAAATATATTCTTTTCCATTCCATTATTTTATTCTGATATATGCCATTCACTTGATTTTAATACGTTATTCATTTCATTACATCCCAATATATTGCATTCTTTTTCTTTTACATAGACATTTTTCGTTTTTAAGCTATGTTTATTTTGTCTAAATTATCAAATATGGAAAGATGGTGAGACATAACGGAGACAGAGAGAGAAAGAAACGTGAATGCAAGGATTTTGTTGATAATAAATTATTGAAAGTTTAAAACTTTTGTTGAATCGGTCTGAGTAAGTTAATTATAAAGTTAATCCAGAAATAACAGGATTACTTATTATTGAAAGATAGAAAAAGAAGAGAGAGAAATAACGGTTTAATACATTTGTTATAGTATTAATTGCTAAACTTTAATTCATTTCAATAAAATCATATTTACTTTGGGAGAAGTTTTTTGACATTTTTGTATCTATTTATTTATTTCAAAACTTCAGATTTTTTTTTTTTTAAATCTTTAAATAGAATTTTGTCACGTATACACTCACACAGATAGACATGTGGCAGTGCAAAAATTATAATAAATCATAATTTGCTAGATTTGAAATTTCAAGATTTCTCTTTCCATTAAGGATTTACAGGATTACTTTGATGAAAACGGATTAGTCGGATAGGCGGGAAATTAGCTATAAATCATTAAAAGATTCGCTGATTTTATCCACTCGAAAAGCCGTCCAAATCGATTTTCACATCACAAATTCATTATTTCTTCACCTCATTTAGCCGAAACATACAAACGTATTATCACGGTTACCATTCATCCATCATTTCATTTCACCCTCTTTTGCCGGTATATCTCCCTTCGGTTCCCGGTGTTTCCGGCATTTGTTTCCCCCGCATTATCCCTCCCATCTCTCTCGTTCCTTTTCTCTCCACTTTACAATATTTAATTTAAATAAATTTCAAAGTGAATGACAAAATATGTGACAATCGTGGAATAATAAAAGAGAATTAAAAAAGAAAAAGTATAATGAAAAAACTACAATTTAAGACAATTTATTCTCGAAAAAATTCAAGAATATTTAATTGGAGACTTGACGTGAAGAATTTGTTGTAAGGACTAATCAAGCATTAAAATTTGGTGATTTTTGAAGTCTTTTTAAATTTATGCAAAATCAGAAAATAAATTGTTTTTATTATTATCATTACCCTTTTATTATTACTATTTCTTTAATTAAATAGTTGATTAATTGGAAGATCTCTTTCATTTCCTCCTTTCTTTGAACGACCTTTCATATCTCGAAAACCCAAAAGCAGGTCCTCCCCAAATTTCTTCACTTCAAATTCCTAAATCAACTATCTGCTTTTCTAGCTTCGCCAGAATCTTGAATTAACTCTTTCCTTTCTGGAATTCGAGAGCGACCTTTTGCCTTTCTGTAATCTCAAATCTATGATCTTTCATTTTAATTTATTCGGATGAAAGAAAAGCAAAAATTATTGGAAAACGATAACTTCATTTTCAGAAACACAACGAGATTTGCGGAAAGATAAACACGAGAACACGAAAAAATGCTCCATTTCGTCTTTGTCGACTAGACGAAAAAAAGTTTGGTAAATTTTTTAATTTTTAATTTAATAAATAAATTTTCAATTTCATTAAACAGAAACAAAATTGCTATAAATTTTAAAAACGTTAATTTTCAATCGTTAATTTTCAATAACTAACTTCTTTGATATATGCCTCTTTTTAACACATTTAAGGTGTCCTTTTCTAAAATTTCATTTTATTCTTGATCAAGATTTAAATTTCTTTTTCTTCATAAAATTTAATTTTCTCAAAAAGATATAAATTTTTCGAATTCTTAAAAAATACAACAACGTATTTTAATTGTGAAGTATTAATGAACGATGAATAAATGTGTCCTTCCTTGCACTGATATTAAGATAAAGATGAACGAGAAGGGAGGCGCGGGATGAAATGAGGGGTAAAAAAGAGATGGGGGAGGAAGAGGAGGAGGAGGAATGAACTTGTCGTTGGGATTAGTAATGGTAACTAACAACGATGGTTGTTAACGAACTTAAATCAAAACCGATTAACAATCTGATTTTTTCATTATCATTTCTTACTGTTGTTTGTTATCGAAGGCAACAAGGATGATAATGATAATTGATAGTGACAATTGATAGGATGTTAAATAACTGTAGTATGACGAATTCCGATGATATATTGATGACAGGAAGGAAAAGAAAAGGGAAGAGAAACGATTATTTGAGAAGGTTGAAATAAAAAAAGGAGAATAAGAACAAAAATTTGATGCCAGCTGGAACAGGCAATATCATCAATTTTTTAACAATAACATGTTTGTTTCTCTTTTTTGTTTTCAACTATCAATCTCACCGTATTATATTTAATTCTCACCGCTGATAAGCTATAACCAAGCCTTATCAGCTGAAAGAAGCATTTTGGTTTTTAAGAATTTCTAAAAGGGTATAATAGTGAATGCAATTTTCAAAAAAGCATTAAACGGCTCATAGATTTTATAGCTTTTAGCATATTTTCCATCAAACAGTTTTTTTTTTCTTTTGCGGTTACAACTGCACATATAATGATGTGTTTATACATTTTTGCATATCTACATGAGGAATGTAATCACTATATAGGATTGCATTATGCAAGATGCCACATGCATGTATTGTTTGCAGTGTGGTGATAAAATGCATTCATAGTAATTACAGTATGTAGGACACATACATGTTTGCAATGTGCAAGATAGCAGATTTACATTGATAGCAATAATAAATGCAGAATGTATGATGCATTTATAATAGATATCACAGTATGCATGACATATTAAGTGCAATATGCAAAATATAATATATATATATATGAGAATATGATTGTCAAATTATAGATTTATAATTTGACAATAATTTATAGGAAGCAAATTTGCCTAAAAACTTTGTCTATCTTAATTAAAACGGTTTGTTATGAATGATAAAGTCAACTTTTTCCATTTCAATCAACAACAGTTATTGATTAGCACCTTTGTAAACCTCAAACAGCTGTGGTTGTTTTCATTATTCCTCCACATCCTTTCAGTTCCTCTCCCCATTCCTTCTTTTTTATGTCATGTTTCTCGAAATGTTCACATATCTTTGATGCCATCTGAATCAGTTGTTCGATGCTTCCCAACCACCCAACAAATCAATCCATCTAAATACCACCCACCCATCAATTCATTTCGTTCATCTTCTTGGAGGCGACCTCACAGTGAAGATAGGCTTTCCTCTTCATTTCCTAGCACTTTTTCTCATTTCTTCCCGTTCCATTAATCAAATTTTAATTAGTAATTTTTTCTTGAAATTCATTCATTATAATTAATTAATTGGTTTTATACAACATAGTTTTTCCGGAAATTTTCTGGAATGATTTTTTGAATGTTTTTATGCATCATAAAATTTTCGAGATTGATCATAAAAACTGATTATCTTCCAATAATAATTAAATTAAAGTTTCAAATCGATCTGATAAATTGTTGTCAGATTTTATCATATGAATTTTGTATTTTACAACCTCTTTTTTTAAGCTTGGCATTTAAGTTTTTTTTTTATAAGTTTTCCGTAACTTTGTTTATTATATGGAAATTTATTCCATAAACTTTTCGTGAATTTTATAAAATTTGAGAAATTTTCCACATACTTTTGTTTTATAGTTTGCAATTATCAATAAGTTATTATAATCATCAATAATAAATTGCATCAAATCATTTAATGATTAGGTGAAATTCTTTCATTTACCGTTGCATTTCAGCCAATAATTACGTTTCGTATAACAAACAGTGATAACATGAATTATCATCGAAACATCCAATTGATGAAGTAAGCAATGGTAAATGCCAGAAACAGATAACTTTGACAAAATCAATACATTATTTTGTCACTCCTTAATTACATTCAGTCACTTTATTGATCCTTTTTTTAATTTATAAAATTTAGAATAAATAATGGATACAGATGATTATGAGAAGACGTTAATTGCGCTTGAAGAAGCGCTAGCAACAACTACAACAACAACAAAGTTACTACCAACCGGATGTCCCAATGTAATTTGCACCGCACTGCCTAGTCATTGGCGCAGTAACAAATCATTGCCGTTACCATTTACCGTATTTGCCCTGGGACCGGTTCCGGATGGAACGGTCGTTACCGTTGCAGCTGGAAATGAAGAAAATTGTTGTGCTGATCTGCGAAATAATCGTACTCAAATGAATGGACAAATTGCCCGTTTCAATGATCTGAGATTTGTTGGTAAAAGTGGACGAGGTAGTATTTTTTTAATCAACAATAAATTTAGAAAATGACCAAATAATCATTTTAGGATATGTTATGATTAATACACTAATTATTAAAAATGCAAAACTAATAGGAAGGAATTATAATAGTCAACTATTTATTACTTATTGGATTGATAACATTTCTTTCATTTCTCGTCCAAAAAATAATATGATTAAAATCTAAAAAAAACGAGCGCTTTTTGATTATTTGTTAAAACAAAGAAATTTATGAAGATAGAACAAGTAATAATTGCTAAAATACCTTTTTTACATTATGGAAGTAAATAATTTGAAATCTTACGAAATGGTGGTTTGTTTTGAAAAAGTTTCCTGAATTCATAAAATAGTAATTAATGAAAAGTAAAATTTTCCCACAAATTTTAAAATCAAATTCTACCAAATTAACTTGGAGTAAAGCAGAGCTGTAACATAAAACTAAAATATTTATACTGTGTCTTTCTTGTTCTAATAATTTTCTTTTCTTCATTCCTAACTTCGAATAGTACCTTTTTCATGTGCTAACTATAAAGTTTCAATTCATTCATAACTTTTTGAATCTCTCTTTTGTCTACCGAAGAATTAAACTTAATTTATCCATGCTATATTAGTATTTTTTAATCAATTTCATTTTCAGTTCAAACATTTCTTCTAATTATTAATTTTTCTCCTTTACTTCTCAGTTTTTTCTTATTTTCTTCCTTAATTCTTGTTATATCGATTAATCATCTATAATAACTTTTTATACACACTTAGACAGCAAATTATATTAATCATTTCAATTTCTAATTATATGCTGTCAACTGTTTCACTAAAAAATTCGTGCTTAATTTTGCTATTCTTTTCTGCCATTTAGTCTTTTCCTCTCTTCTTTTCTTCTCTTCCTCTCTCTCTTCCTCTCTCTCTCTCTCTCTCTCATTATTTTTCCCACGAATGCATAAAAGCAATTTTTTCTATTTTATTAATTAATTTAAATTTGTTTCTAATAGAATAGAATTTCAACATTTTTCTGCATTTTTCAGATATAATTTTGTAGAAAAAGAATTTGAAATGTTACGAAAGAAAAAAATTTCAGGAAAAAATTTTCATTTAACGATAACAATCGATACAAAACCGGCACAGATAGCAATCGTTGGTAAAGCAATCAAAGTTACCGTTGATGGGCCGCGTGATTCTCGAACAAATAAGCGTACGGGTGAAATTCCATTCTTTCTCTTTCTTACCATAATTATCCCTCTGTCTCTCTCTTTTTTGTTTATTTTCAAATTTGAAAATTTATTTAAATTTAACAAAGAGTGTATTAATTAAAAAATTTTTTATTGCAAAATTTTACAAGCATTTTTTATTTTTGATAAAACTTTGAATAAATTATAATATTTCAATTGTTTTACAACGAAAGAAATTGCAGCATTAACTCGCCGTATCAGTGCATCAGTTTCATCGGATAATTGTTCAGCTAACAGCAAAGTTCGCCGTCGGATTTCCATCGCAACCATTCCGAGACCGATCCCGACCCTAATACCACCAATTCCCGTTTTCCCTTCTTTATTTAATCCCTTTCCATTTATTCCAAATCCTCCGTTACCTCCACCAGTATCGTTGAACTTTCCTCATTCTCCTTTACTAAATCCCACTGCTGCTGTTGTTAGACAACCTCTTCCACCTGTTGTTACACCTTTACCGGCGGTTTTGACTCAAAGAACCCGACAGTTACCTCAGTCCAATGAACAGCCAATTGGAACAAGGACACGACGAAAAACAACGAAAATTTGGAAACCTTATGATATCAAATCATGAAATTGAAGTTAAAAATGTAAATTTAACATTTTCCAATTCAAAAATATACGTTCAACATGAATTTCTGACAAGTATTCATAATTATTTCTTAAGCATCACGTATTAACGTCATTTAATTCGTTTAACTTTTACACTCTGAAATAACCAATTAGTCAACTTTTTTTCTCTTTTGAACCACTGATTAATTTATTATGAAAGATAAAATTTTGTAATTAAATTTTAAGTATCAATAAAGTCAAAAGTTTTCCATGGTTATTTTGGCGAATTTTTTCACCAATCAAAAATTTTAAAAAAAATGAAGTGAGATAATTTATGCGAGAAATGCGCATATTTCGTTCCACATCACTGATAATTGACAGCTTTCGAGTAATGGCAAATGTAAAGAAATCATAATTATAATCCGTTAATTAGCTAATTATTGATTATATTGTTAGAAAAATGATAGGATGAATTTTTTATTCTCGCAAATAGCTTCAACCAACTGGTTAAGAATTGATAATATCAGGAGGAAAGGAGGAAAATTATGTACTTACATATTTATCAGAAAGTGATTGAATCAAATTCTTGTTGTGTACAAAAATTAATTTGTTGGTCTCATCATTTTATCACTGTTATCACAATTATAATTGTTAGTATAATATTAATTATATGCACGGTATGAATTGTTTATTTTTGATATTCTTGCGGGTAACAAAAAAAGTTATGAGTATCTTTTTAAATGATCCTTTTATCGCTCTTTTTTTCTTCAGTTCTCTCCATTTCTTTTTTTGCTATACGATAATTTATGAATAAAAATTGCTCGAAATTAATATATGCTATCGCATTCATTTCGTATCATAATGTTTTACCATTAAGTAGTAAATAACTTTCAGTAAAAGAAAAATTTATTTTGTTTAAGGAAAAAAAAACTATCAGTAAAGATTATATTCGAAATAAATTTGGTTATCATTTACAATATTCTTAAAATTAACTCCTTTCATTCATTAATTATCAACCAAATTTAAATATTAATTCTTTATGTACAGGATTTAACAGTTAAATTTTAACATTATTTATCGTTAGCTTTTCATTTTTCTTATCCCTGAATCTTTTTATCAATTCAGACCAATATTAGTAATTAATTTTTGTTTCATTTGGTTAAGTTTAATTAATCTCTATGGTAATTTTGTATCGTAGTTTGCTTAAAACTTCTAAACCAAATATTTTTATCATAACAATTAGCATATCATTCTTTCTTATTTTTTTTTTACATGTGAAGTGAAATAGTATGAAATCCGTTAATTTTATTCGTATATTCAATTTTAGTTAAATAAAAATGTAATTAAAGAAAATGGGAGTAGAGATATGGAGAGGAACAAAGAGGGAAGATAGAAAAGAAGGAAAGGAAGTGATGTTTAATTTAAAGATAAATGTAATTTCAAAGATAATGCATTGAAATGCACGCATGTACATGTACAGGAATGAAATAAAGATCAGTGATGCATTTTTGTTTGTAGCGAAATATACATCATCTCACATCATGTAATGATACCATTATCGATAACGATCTCCGTGTCGTGTCCTTGTTTGTTCAGTAGATTGTTACTGGCTGATAAAAACCGGTCAATCCCATTCATCATTATAACCATATCATTATCATCATCGTCATCACCATTATCAATATTGTCATCTTCGACACGAACATATTACTGTCATTGTTACTGTGTGATGGTGATAATGGTGATGATTTTAACCGACTCATCATCATTATTATTATTATTGCCATCCACAATAACAATTTTTCGATCATTATCATATCTAATACTCTTTTTTTGGGCGAAATTTATCATTCTTGCAATCTCTGTTTCGGTAAAAACGATTATAAGATTGTAAATATAAGAAAGAAGCACCAATCACTTTTTTTCTTTAATCAACCATTCAACAAATAATTCAATTTAATCAATAAGGATAAAGTAAGTTTTTACGAAATTTGTGAATTAAATAAATTTTTTGATTAATTAAATTTTTGAACCGGCAAATTTAGTTCCTTTTAATTATTAGACAAATTAATTACAATCAGGGATTTTTGGAAACAACTAACTGATCAAATTTAATGCATCTCAAAAGCAAACATATCAAGTAACAATATGGTTGTGGTTATATTTGACTGACTTCGTGCCACTTATGAAATAGAAAGAAAGGAAAAATGATTGTAACTGATATTTGGTTGACTTCATGCGACATTCGTTTTTTTCCGATTTGATCTTGAATTGCGAAGATTGAACAGTTCAAATGAAACCAAGAAGTGTAATTAATTAAGAAACGTATTTGACCGCAAGTGTCATCGTAATTGGAAGATAGTTATAACCCAAAGCAAGAATATGAATTTAATTGGTTATGTAACAATCATTAAGGTTGATATCTGAGTGATGTTCATTTATATCAATAAGATCATAAGATCTGTTGAATAGAGTTTAAAAAATATAACAAGCCAACGTTATCACGAATGATACGAGGAACTGATGAAACAGATAGAATATCGAAATATTGTGCAAAGAACTCTTGTCAGAATTCCAGGGAAATTTAGAATAAAATCAATTCTTAAAATCGTTACTTTCTTTTTCTTCATTTGAAATGTCTTGCAATCTTGACATTTAATATCTTCTTATCTGTAAAAGAAAAGCACAGTAAAGCAAGAAACACCATCACCATCAGCGAACTTTATGTGGAAACTTCTAAAATCAGAACATCAATTGATTGTATTGTTGCTTTCAATAGCAATAATATGGAAGCAGTATTGTGGATGCTAACAAGTAAACAATTTTGTATGATAAAAAATAATGTTAGTTAAACAACCGATAAAATAACAAACCAAAATAAACGATTTCTGTTAAAACATAGATAACTTGTTATGATACAATATCATTGGCTTATTGGACACGAAATTTGTCTCTCAATAAGTAAATAAATGTATTCACGATTTTGACTGGTAAAATATGCATTTACCATAGATGTAATACAACATTAATAAAAGAATGAAATCAAAATATGATTACTGTGTTGTTCAATTAATCAAAAACAGCGACTGTAGTAGACAATATGCAACTCTAACCTAAATTTTTCTGGCTCATGAATTTCTGGGAAAACTCCTCAGACAGAAGTACGATGATCATATTCCGACATGACTATATCATTCGACATGCTTAGGCTCTTTTACTCGTATTATAGCCTTATAACGAATCTAGAAATAGTATATTATAGATACAGCCAATCGAAATAACCAAACGGTCTGAAAATTTTAAAAATATGGTCCACAAAAAATAGAGCAGTCATAAAAATGAATCCCTAAACAATTTCTGGATATATCAAATATAATGCAACTACTCAAGAGAATCTAACCAGCTTGACGATAAAAGGAAGAATAGATCAAAGCTCAGGATAGTGACTGGCTTGTGAAGAATTCAGAATTATGCATTTAGAGGTAAAAAATAACTTTAAAATAACATTGTAATGAAAACAGTGGACTTCCAACATAATAACACTATACCAAAATTTCACACCATTCTATGTGGAAGAGTGATGGCTCATCATAATATTTGGCCTATTTTTCTTATCAGCAGAAAAATATTCGGACCGTTTTGCACGAGAAAGATGGAAACTTCACATAAATACATCATAGATAAATTGAAAAAAAGACGAAAGCGGCGTGGAGTTTCGGATTGACTGGGAGCTTGAAATCTTTCTTGAAGAAATAAGAAATAGCTACCTATTTTACAAAACCAATTAAAATTATTCATACTTTAAAAATATTATTATGAGAATGTTGCCAAATTCAAATTTTCCTGCTCAAAGAAAATCAAAACCACTGATACGGAAACACGAATGCTTGTGGATTAAGACATTCTTATAAATTAAATCATTAAAATAACAGTCCTTGTTAAGAGCATCGGGAAAGAAAGAAGAAAGAAGAAAAAAAATTAAGAAATGAAATTAGAATAAAAAAAAAAACGAAAAATTCAGACAATTGGAAAATTTTACAAATAGAGCTTTTAAAATTGTTAAAATTACAACATCAACATTAAAATTGAAAACATAACAAATTCCAGAAAGTTTTACATAATTACAGATAACAAATACACAATTAAAAAATTCGTTTCAAACTTTACATCAACTGGGACAAAACAAGCGTCCAACTCATTATGATGTATACTTTATGGAAAATTTCCATTCATAATAAACTGTCTTTCACTTATAATATATTCAGAAAAAGGCCTTACATTCAGAAGTCAAAGAAGGGAGGTATAAAATATGTCGGTACGTATAAATCCATCAGCATGTATTTAGCAAATTAAAACTTGCAAACTTACAACCCACACACAATGCTTTAGATACAATTTAAAAAAAAAAAGTAGTAACGAAAGATGTACCAAACAGTTATCCTACAATATGGATATAAATTTTCAACTCAATCTTAGATAGTGAATGCTTTCACAATGTAGTGGTTGAAACAGCTTCAGCGCCCGGAAAGCTTGATGATACAGATGTTGCAGATAACATTCCGTTAGCAATATTTTCCGTATGAAGAGGCGAGTCACTTGAAAAAATTAAAAGCATTTTTTTTTACTAACACATGTATAAATTATAAGCGAAATCCACATTAGCAGTGGGAAATGTTGTCCTTTAAAATAGATTTTCTTGGAACTTTTTTGAAAGAAATCAAAATAATATATTAAAAAAAAACGAGCACATATTCACTAATACTAATAAGAACAAATTTGTAACTATTTAAGCTAACTTCTGAATTTCTTACGACCTTTTATCAAATTAACAGTTTACCTGTGTCCATTTCGACTTCCAGAAGAGCTTGAACTAATGCGTGGAACGCGACGGAATGAATTTGAACTTCGAGCTTTCAACTTGCTTTCATGCGAAACGATGGAAGGTTGATTTGCAGGTGGCACCCATACCTAAAATGTAAATGCCATGCTGAGAAAAAGGTATTCAGGGTAATTTGTAGTGTAGATTCACGAACTCTTTTATAAGATTACATTGGAACATAGATTTAATTCAGAACACGACGATATCACTAAAAAAATTATTATTTGCAACTGACAAGGTAGATTTGCAGTGGCCTACTCTGTCAGTTGCTTCTGAATCTTATTCATAAAGTAGCGAAAGATTTAAGATTTAGCTTACCTGCACTTGCTTGAGAGGCTGGTTGGAATAAGTAGGCAGCATATATGTCGGCTGTCCAAATGCCAACTTCATGCTTGCAGGTTTGGTAATTTCTGCAATATGGTCCGGAACTGGAGATTGTATGTTCATCTGAATCCTGAAGTGGATACATCTGTTCCTACTTAAACTAAGAATTTCAGTTTTGGTTCTTGAATTTGCATTTGTCTCTAAGATCAACTGAATTTACATCACGAAACTCTCCCAAACAAATCGCCAACGGTGTCATTGAATTTCGGTGTCATTCATTTATACTAGCACAATCCAGCTCTACACCAAAGGCTGTCACGCTCTCTGTGCTGGAAACTTTTCGTTCCGACTGGATCCCGTTCCGGTAATTTCTTCAATAAATTCGTTTTCAGCATTCAATTATTGCTTAAAACTATAAAATATTCAATAGCATACCCAATCTCAGATGTAACAGTGCCAAGATACTGTTGCGATACAACAGTGCGCGGATGATACGAAAAAGTGCAATTAGCTGCACTATATGCGATGTAAGATTCCGACTGCACTGGTCGACGATGTGTGCGAATCATTGGTTTGTGGCCGCCATATGGACCAGTTAGGGCATGACGAACCTTAAGTCAGATTATTAAAATTATGAATGTGGATGAACAATATTTGAGTAGTATAATTCTTCAACTGATGAAGAGAATAAAAAGATGCGAGAAATTTTAATTTCCTTACCTCCCAACATTGCAGACAAAAGTACTTAAAACAGCTCTTTTCGCGGCAGAAATATGGACCTTGAACACATTCACACTGCGAGCATTTGGCATCCTCCAGAAATGGATCAATCTGTACTTTTTTAGTGAATTTCGAGGTATGAATTTCAAGGTAACCGGATTCAATCGCACGGAAGTAAGCTAACTGTGTTGAAAACGTGACTCGTGCACTGCCTGGACATGAATAAATGTAAACATGTGTGCATACATACTATATAAGCATAATAAGAACAAGCATATGCACACTGTTTCCATATTTATTGCATTCCTTAATGCCTACATTTACAAAATTCCTAACTTATCGATAAGCTTATTTGAATATTTATGACTTATTCTTATTTCTTCTTTTAATAATTCTAACAGATTCAGGTCATTTTTTCATGATGAGTTTACGAGATATGATTCTGCGGAGATACTTGCGAACACTATCAGTACAAGAATTTCAGATTAATGACATATTTTCCTAAAATTCTAAATAACTTACCTATAGGATACTTTTGACGATCTGTATCGATTCCAACAAAAAGTACATCACCATAAACATCTCTCATGATAGAAAATAAAACCTTAATATAAGTCGATAAAAAAGTGGGAAAGAATTCAACATGAGAAGTAACTAAATGCACAATAACAACCAGCGGTATAAGCAACAATGCTCCATTTCTTACTGTGACACGATTTTGCTAAACAGTTCACCTGAGCCGTAATCATGCCGTGCAACGCTCCAACGAATACTGTTTTCTTGAGTTCCAAAGGAATGTTCGGATTGAGAATATATGAGGCATCTGACACGACCCATGGAATAACTTGCACCTGTGTAAATGACATAAATATTTGAAAATTAGGAATAGTTAAGCAAACTTGTTCGCAAAAACTTCAGAGTACCTGTCTGATTTCTAATCCATTGGCTCGTCGTGCTGTCAATTTGAAATACCATTCACCAGCTGTTCCAAATTCCTGAGAGCAATCTTTCAACAGTTTCTTCACTGCCAAATCACTTTCGAAAATCATATACACATAACCGGTAATTTTAGCTCGCCGTTGATTTATGCGTGCATGACGCGACTCCTTGCTGGGCCATTCTACTCGGCACGAGCCATATTTAGAAAATGACTGGAAAGAATTTTTGAAAAATTAAAAAACTTCAGCAAATGTATTAAGAAGGCATGCCCGTGATTTTTGACCAAAACTTCTTACAATAATATTATTCGTTAAATTTTTAATCGCTTTATTGAGCCATCTCGCAGCACTATTCTTCTGTTTGATTTAGAGCTTTTAAGACAAGGATCTTATCCATTATGCACGCTACGTCATAAGCCATCTGATGAAATTTTGACAAAATAAAAGTAAACATTTTATATGAGAAGGATGTGAATCCGAATCTTTAATCGAAAAGAAAAATTTGTTGACAGATTGAATTTCAAGCAAGATAGCAACTATCTAATATCAAGAATACTTACGTCAAGAAGTGCAGATTCTGTAATATCCCACGGAACACCACCGATGAAAACTTTGCTAGAGAACACTGGATTACAGTAATTACGAGGTGGTAATTCACCTTTCCAATAGCAAGGCTTCTCATGTCTCATTTCGAAATCAACATTTCCTCCAGTTACCTGTGATCGTATCACGGATCCTGTCATCATCTTAAATGTAATAATTTGTCGTTGTAGAATATAAGTGAGCATTGAGTTAGACAAAACAAAAAGTTTCTGATCTTTCTGGCATCCTTACTTTGTCTGTTATGAAGGACTGAAACTTGTGGGTGCAAAAGCAAGATTTCTTTGTATTCAGATTTGTCATATATTAGAGAATCATTACGTATAGACTTGCATGCTTTAAAAATTACGTTTGTAATTGAACGTTCACTATTGATACTCTATTCTTAACAATAACATAGAAAATAAAACTCTCCAGCAATAACCTACTACGCCACTAAACTGAATTATAAAATTACTGTTGGCATTATAAATCAAATCATTATGTTAATAGTGATAAATAATCGTGAATGTTAACTTGTACATAAGTTGGTGAATATCCATTTTGTAGCATATGTGCTACAATTTGATGGTGGCATTGCTGATACTCATTGGCTCCCGTCATCACTGTTTGCCATGATTTTTGTATCGGATGACTGTCAATGATCATCGAAGTTAGTGGCTGCAAAATCGATAATCTTTCTAGAATTCATACTCATTATCTTCTCTTCCCTTTGAAAGGGAGAACTATTCTTTTCGCTGATATTAGTAAAATGAAGCTTTCAAATTTGATAGCATATCTGGAGATTCATGCTAGTACACTGACAGCATAATTATCCAAAAAAAAAACAAAACAAAATCATGAACGACAAATGATACCAAACACTAAACGTTGTTTTTAAAAGCTTAACGGAATCTTTTCGCAGCCTATATTAACCTTTGTTGGTCCTTTGTTGTCATTATCGTTCTTTGCTTGATAATCTAAATTCCCACTTTTTTTTGTTGCATTATTACTAATAATAGTTTTTATAATTGTGTCAGTAGTAATGGCAGCAGCACGGATCTTACACATGTCTTTACCGTCAGCCTTGCCGTTATTACAATAGTTGTAATTCGTGCTCGGTATATTGTTATCATTTTGGTCGGTAAGACTGAGAGAATTCATTTCACTTCTATCTGCAAAATAAACACATCATTTTATGGATACATTACCATATTTTTTAAATATATTGCAATTAAACAGTTGAAATCATCTGAAATAGTTATTTGCCTAAACGCCCTCCTTTTTTGCACATTTTCAGTAAAATTCTTGTATGTTGCAGGAAATCATAACTTGAGAAAGCATTTAAAAAAACTAGGAGCTTCTAAACAGGCTTTCCAGTTCTTGAAAATTCCCTGCTCACCTTTTTTAGATGTAAAAATCTCTGCAGCGGTAGCAGCTGAACTTTTGCTTGTCGTTGCTTTCTCTTCTGGAAGCTTTACCTTATTCTGATCCTTCACGTGTAATTTGTCCATTATTCCAAAGAAAATAAAATCTTTTCTACTATTCAAATATGAAATGAGAGCATAAATCATGCTATTTAATAATTTAGCAAATAAAAAATAGTTTCAGAAGTTTAAATTAAATTTCAAAAGGCACTATTCAAAAGATTTTAAATTCAAAACTTTTAAATTTGCATTATGCTTTAAAACTTTCAAACGTGTGCTTTAGTTTTAAATACTGATTTCTTGCAAAATAATGTTCCTAATTCTTTAACAATTCAAAAAAAATTCTTGAAATGTTCCAAACATTTAAATATATTACCATTTTGTTGATATCATATATTAAAATAAAGATCAAAAAAGAAAAAACAGCACATCTACCGCTGATTAAGTCAATAGAGATATGTTAACTATATTAAATCATTTTTAATCCATTAAAGATTGATGACAGTTAATACAATCTAACAAAACAAACTACCTTAACATTCATATTAGTCCCATAGTCTGTCTAAATCGTCGTAATTCTGAATCTTTGATAAAATTGTTGAAGAGCTAAAAGAGATTAAAAGCAGTTTCAAATCCCTTTCCACTTCTAATTTCCCATGTTACTTCCAGTAATTTTTTCAGATAATTTAAGACGAAGTATGTGGACGGATTCTGAAGATTTTAATGGAATGTTTCCAAATTTATAAATAGAATGCAAACTACGCGTAATCAAACATAAATTAGGATTTGACAGGAAAATCTAGAAATTTTTGAACAACCTAAAAGATTAATATCTTCTAATAGGGACTAAAATTGGTCACCTTTTTTACAATACAGACTGATGTGTTTTATCTAACTTTCGATTTTTCAAGATTTTAAAATATTTCCAAAAAAAAGAAAATTTGTTGCGATTTCGAAGTCAAAAATTTAAAATCGGGAACTCTTAAATCCTTGAAACTCTATGTTCAAATTTATCAAAATATCCCTTATGCATTCCACTTACCAATCCGCTTTAGACTACTGAAAATTATCCGCGAATGAATGGATTTCTTTGACTGAATTTCCCAACCTACAGGTTGTATTATTCTTCTTTCCTTCTTTTCCTATTGTAACTAATTCAAATTGAAATTAAAACTTAAATTGGAAAGAGCACGGCAAAAATCAACCCAATTACAGAAGAAAAACGGCTGACTAATCGCAAGACTTCGGACTGCTACCACTGCTCGCTTGAAACTGTAGTCAGTCACGTACTCAAGTCCATTCCACCTTCGATCTTATCTGAAAATGGCGATTGTCACGCAACCCAATCCATTCCAAAGACAGCAATGCATCTATAAACTCTATTCACAGCAATCTCTCTGGTCGCCCTATAATTTGCCGTTCCGGTATTCGACTTGAATTCCAATTTCCTTTTTTAAAAATCAGTGCGATATTTGAAATCCATAGTTTAACATTCTAAACATGAGTTAAATCCCAATTTAGATTTGAAATGTGTTTGATGCAGAAATTTCGAAATGCTCCAAATTTTATTCAATATATGATAAAAATAATATGAAAACTATTTCATCACAAGAACACATACACATCAAAATGTAAATAATACGTCAAACAAAATAAAATTTAAGGAAGATCCGAAAATTAGAAATGTATATGATAGAAAAAGGTAGTAACTGTGAAATTTTGCAGTTCTGAAGTTGGAATGAAGCAAACTCCAGGAGTCTATATTGATCCACTTCATAACTACTTGCTTTATCATGGGCTTCGAAGGCAAGATAACTAAACACTGTGTGGAAATAAACTTCCGGAAAAATATTCTATATATTTGAAGATTCATATAATCATTTAACGAAACATGTTTCTTTTGTACATGTCCTTCCCTTCAGAAAAGTCACATATGGTCGCCGGAAAATTCTAATCAGGACAAATAATCTCTTTAACTTTTTTCTTTCGAAATAGAATACTAAATTTTTTGAATTTTGTAATTGTTATTTTCATATAAAAGAAAAAAAATTCTAACACAGCATACAAGATCTCCTGCAATTTTTGAGGCAACATCCTAAATATCCAAACGTCTTTCTTTTGTTATCTCAAAAATTCCTGGAACAAACAACACTCGAATTCCTCATAGTCCTTGTCTATTTGTCTTCATTCTATTAGTTAAAATATTGCAATGAAGGATAAAATCCCAAAATTATAACTAGTAACACCACCTAATTCTTATGTACACAACTAGAAATTATACATTCCTCTTTTTTTTACTACGTGTAAAACTGATTCAATATTCTTGGAAACAGATGAAGTAAAGAACACACATTGCAGGCAAATGATCCATTTTTTTGTTTTTTTTTTCCACCCACTTTCAGGATAACACAACAAGTATTAAGATATCATGCGCGTGACCAAATTGCGATATGAACCTTGATGAAAACCACCAGAAGCCAACTGCGGGATTGTTCGACCAGCGCTTTGCATTATCAGATTAATTGAATTTAACTCCTAAAGAGAAAGTATATTTTCGATTTCAAAATATTTGCCAAAATCTACTTTTTAATCTAATAAAAAAGAGGAACCCTTATTAAGTAGACAAATAAACATAACCAAGTATGTGACTGATTTTAAATCATCAAGATTATTCGGCCTAATTCAAAAAATAATTCTCATTGAACATAACTGCTCTTCGTCTTCTTTTCCATTGTAGCGTTCGTTTAAAATATGAGTACCTAACAACATATACATAAATTCATCATTCTGATTTTGATTAAAAACCTCTTTCTTAGTTGATTTGCAGCTAGCTATTGAAGTTTTATGACAAACATTAACTGTGAAACTGAAAAAATTTTTCGAACCTACTTTAACTGGTGTTTTATCAAAGACATATCTATATGGTCGTGACGGTGAGGATGGCAATGAAGAAGGCATTGGTGTAACGGTAATACGATCAGATACGCTCCTTTGAGGTGACAAGCGATTACACTGAACCACTGGAATTGATAACAGCGAAACACCATTCTATAAAACTGACATGATGATATATGAACTGGATTTTTATCTACTTACAGACTTATATATATATATATAAACTTAAATAAAAAGTCTTAATAGATCAGTTAGTGTGTAACCTCCGTAAATCCCGGTTGTAATTTCTGCACAAATGATTTCACACGAGCAATGAAAATATGATTGTAATATTTGATGAGATCAATGTATTCCACATTCTGGTGTTCTGGTGTTGCTGTGCCACTGCCTGTCACTACTCCCGAAACTGATGATTCAGAACGGAATTTGTCTCCTGATGCAGAACCAACAGAGTCGTGGGAAGCGCCATCATCCAAAATAATTGGCGGAGAACTGAATTTTTTTCATTCAATAATTTAAAAATTCATTAAATTTTGCAGCTAAATTCCTCCTACAATTTTTTTTTACTATTTTACTCAGAAATAAAAAATACATCGGTAGAAAATTTCAGAAAAGAATTTTCTCTTACCCTATAAAAAAGGACGATACTGAAATATTTTATAAATACTAAAATTTAACAAATTATATATGTTATCTAGAAGCTTACGAAATGCTTTCCACCATAACTCGTCGATATACACGTGAAGCAGCTTGTGGTTGATGGCGGTAATGGTACATAATGTCATGGAAAGAAATATTTTGCTGACCAATTTTTGCTACTACGTATAAACAACACATTAGATTCTGATCCAAATGCCTTCCAGCCATAAGAGACGTTTCCGTTCTTAATACATGCTCAAACAGAGTCCAAGCTCGCTGACGACCTTTTTCATCAAGACGTACTCGTTCACAAAGATCGCGCAAGCGAACTGCTGCCAAATAATACACCTAAATTATAGATGAAGAAATATAAAAACCCCATATTTTAAAAAAAAATTATCATCAATAACTTGACATCAACTTTAAAAAATTATCACCATTAACTTGACATTAACTTTAAAAAATTATCATCATCAATTTGACAAGGATTGATTTTTTCTCTACTTTCTGTTAATGGCATTACCAGGCTTTAAGATATGACTTTAAGATACAGATTGTTTTGAAGATATAAAATGCATAATGCTTTGCAAAGATCTGCTATCAATTTTAAAGATCTTTTATAAATTTAGTTAAACAGTAAGTTTTAAAATCAAACAAACATGCCTTGCGGAAAAATAACAATGTTGCAGATGATGGTGATGAACTTTCAGCATCCGTAACTCGCCGTTTTGCAGCAATACATGGTGAATCATCGTCATCAAATTCAAGTCGACGTTTTGCTATTTAGAAAAAATTATTTTATTAAATAAAATTAAACTATACAAATAAAAATAAAATCTCTAAACTCACCTAGTGGTTTGATGGGAGATACGGTATAACGCTGTGAAAGAGATGGCTGCCTCATAGAATAACCCTCTACGGCTTCCAATGACACCGCCTGACTTGATGGTACTCCATCTGCTCGTCGTTGTAAACTAGGCCATAATGGTGACTCTAAGCTCCAAGCAAACTCTTCCAACACACGTTCTTCGACCTGTAAACCAAGAATAAAACGAGATATAAAATAATTTTCGAGCTAAACAATATTACAGAAAAGATGTCCGGCTGAAGGAATTTCGGAAATTACTCAAATAGCAGACTGAGATATAAAAGACACAGTATTTCAAATAAGCCAATTTTCAAACAGCAAAAAAACAGAACTGAACTTCATGATATCGACTCAGTTGAAGTAATACGTAACGTATGTCTTACAGGATAAAAGTGACCTATAACATTAGATTTTTTAGGGGGTAACTTCAAACTATATGAAAATGTCTTTACACTTCGTACTGAAAACAATGATGAAAAATTTTAATATATGATAATTATAGCAAAGTGCGTACCTTATTGAGATGCTTAACCATTTCACGCGATAAAGAAGAATCCGCTCGGATAATTAGCTCAATAACTTTGTAAAAATGTATAGCCGATACTCGCATTATTTCCAGACTCCATGGAAATTCTCGCACACTTTCATACGTAAAAAGAACTAGTTGCAATGAACAGACATACAACGATTTTAAGAAATCCTCCCTGAGCAATACAGCCTATAATGCTATACTGTAAGTCTTGTTAACTTAATGTATGAAAAGCCACCAATTAGAAGAATCATCCCAATTAAAAAAAATTAGCTAACTATAGAAAATATATTTCACAAGCGGCAAACATAAACACTTATTCCAACAAAAAACATAAAAAAGCAACAAGACATAATATAAACCTTGCTTCAACCATAACTGTTATAACAGTTATCACGAGACCTATTTTAAGCAAACAAAGTTTCAACAAGAATGAATTTTACCAACTAAAATATTCATCTAATTTATCAGAACAAGATAAAGAACTCACGCTTAGTTTTATGATACTTCCATTTCCCAAACGATCTTTTTCTGAAAGAGCTATTTTATGCAAGAAACGAAAGAATAAGCATTCTACATTGCTTTTTCGAACTGCAAACATTTCGCGAAATGAAGTATCGTATTCAGCTCCATCTAATTGTCCTTCATTTTCTACTGCTTCTTCTAACCGTTCACTTAACTGAGAAACTGAAATAAACGTTTCAACTTATATCTCGCAGGAAATTTGATATTTGAAACAATTCCTAAACATTACATATTTGAACCAATCCAAATCTTAACAATCACTTTTTATCGTTATTCCAAAAATTTAAAAATAAAGTAATTTCAACTGCTTTAAAAACTAAAAATTATATTTACCAATATTCGTAACTTTCTCAAGCGGATCCTGGCAGCTGTGACATAAAATGCTCTCTACTTCAGCATCCAATCTTCTCCAATTATCTTGCAGCAACGATTCCAGTTTCGACGCATTATAAAGTGAAGCAGAAACCGGTGTAGCAGGACAATACTGAAAAGATGATGTAATGCAATAAAATGATCGCCAATAAAAGCGAACAATACAACATGCAAATAAAAAATAAAAATAATGAAAGCTCAAGCACCTTAAATAATATTTAAGCAAAAACGAAAACAATGAAACGAGTACCTGTTCAGCAGATATGACATATCCTCGACCACTCAGAGGTGTCTTTTGTTGTCTTTGATCCTGAAGTCGTTCCAAACAACTCTGAGTGCTTAAACGCAACAGCATGTCTGCATCAATAAGATTGTCACCATCTTCTGAACGTCGAAGACGCTGCACTGCACATTCTGAAATAAAAGGCTGAAATTTAAACACATCAAATAAGATTGAAAAAAATTTTTTCCATGATTATTACTGGCGTTACGGTAGTCAATTAACATTTTATGTTGATATGTTTTGAAGAAAACGAAAAAAACACAAAAAAAAACCTTGATCTCATCAAATTTTTCGTCTCTTAGCAAGATTAGAATGAATTATGGACAGCCTTAGTGATAAACAATCGTTACATTATTTATTACATATATACCAGAACTTCTGCTATATGTTTAAAATTTCTTTTCTTAGAGAAAACAAAATCATTCAAATGTTGATTTTATTTCTTTAATTTCAATTATGACTCAAAACCAGTGTTCTAAATTGAATTTTTTTTAAACTGTATACCATCATATGCTTCATCGAATACGACAGAAATATCTGCCGGCAAAAACATTCTTTCATCCATTTCCCCTCGTTTCACAATCAATTCCTCATACATATTATCCAATTTTTTCCTGCAAAAGAAATATGGGTATGAAAAAAACTTGAAAAGTAAATATGAATTTCATCTAATTCAGAAAGTTATATTCAGTTTATAAAGAAAAAAGTGAAGTGGTCCCTTACTTTTGATCTAAATTTCGGTTTGCACAAACCTCATTCTAAAACATTCTAGAATCATATTTCTGCTAAATACTTATTTATGAAGCATACATAAATAATCTCTAAGTTTATAATATATTTGCAAAATATTTCAGTATATAATGACTTCACACTAATACAATTCTTCATTAAACAGTCCATACTTATTGATAAATTCGTTGGTGACGAAATTGGTCAAATCTTCTCCTGTTTCTATTATTTTCTCTTCTGACATTCTACGCATTCTGGGAAGCCAACAATGGACACGGAAGTGTTTTGCATCCAAAACAACGCCTTCAAAAATCTGACACAATGTTTCCAAAATCGAATCTTTTTCGGGCTGCATTTCAATAGCATTTACTAAAAAATTAAACAAAATCAATAAGCAATAATATAATTATTAATCATTCATCAAACTACTTGAGTATTATTCTTGAAATCAAAGGATAAATATAATCTCGTGTATATAAAGGACAACAATACATCTTAAAAGTGGATAGAGCATTAAAAGCAAGCAATTATAACCGAGATCATCAATACACAAAGACATCAAATCGTCAAAATTTCTCACAAAAAGCTTACTGAAATCGCCATCTAATAAACAAGCCAATTCGGAACGACGGAGATCTTGAAAGATGAAGTCAACCGTACAAAGCAAAAGATGAAAACTGTTCATCAAGTCATCACTGTTGAACTGCTCTGAAAAATTTTCTTTGGAAATATCGCAAAGCAAATTCAAATCTTGCTTATTCATTGTATAATTATGATTATTATTGCCTCGATTATATTATTAAAATCAAGTCGAATTTTATGAAAGCACTGCTACTAGTACTTCTGTTTAGAAAGAAACTGCCAAAAAATGCTAAATATTGATCCAATTTTCCAACCATGGATATTCAAACAGTTCAAAATATAAAAAGAAATCAAACGACAAATATTCGAATACTAACTTCGCATTACGACAAATAGTGTCCACAGTAAAGAAAACAGCTTTTTGCAATTGAGACCATTCATTTCATCATTATTATTACCGCGTGGTGGTGCAAATATCTTCCGGAAGATTGGTAATAATTTTTTGAAAACAACTGCTGCAACAGCAAGGGACGACTGCACTCGATTGATATGATCCTTTAAGCGCCGTGGCCCATTAATCATTTCCATCCATTTAGCAGCTTTGTCGAAGAATTCAAGCACACTACACATAATAAAACATTACAGAATTTGAGTATGATCTGATCTAAATCTCCGAATCAATTATACTGTACAGCATCCAGCAAAAAAATGAATAAATTTTTAACTGCTGAATCTATCAAAAAACCTTCTTCATTGTAGAACACATAAATTCTCAGCAAGACATTTCATATTTTTCTAATCACTATAACTGAGATAAAATGCGCTAATCGTTTTATGTTTGACATAATAAACTGAATAATTAATGTCATAAACGAATACATTGTTTAAAATAACCAATACCTGATTTTACAAATTTTGAGAAGTTCAGCCACCGAATACTTCTTCGATACCGCATGCTCAAGTGGAATCCCTTGCCACATTGAAAAATAAACAGCACAAGCATACCATGTAAACTGTTTCCCCTGTAAAAAAAAAATGTTCATTTAAGAAATTTGCAAAGAATTCTAAACATTCAAAATCATTGACAACCATTTCATGAATTCGTCAGCAACTGATAATGAAATGCACCTAACCGAAACCAAATTTTATGCGAATAAAACCAAATTAAATCAAATAGACATATTTCCTCGAAAGTGCTACAGAAATATTACATAGCGATCAAACCTCTAAGACGTATTGGTTTCTAATTGTATCGTACTGTTTCCAAGCTTTTTCGACGAAATCTTCGTCTATACCAGGATCCAACTGCTTGCAGATATTCAAGAATGCTGTTGCTGGCTCAGAATGTTGGTTGTCCGCTATTTCGCTTTGTCTCGTTGGTGATGATTTACTAGAAGGCTCACTTTTAGTATCAATATCTTCAGCCATATAGCAAACCCTGAAATTTTCACATGATTCACAACAATTACAATGGTCACGGTGAAAAATAATTGCAATTTTAAGAGCAACGTGTGGCCAGCGGAAGAAGAAAACAATATCCCGAACAAACAGCATATTCCGTCAACACACAACAAATGTCCCATCTGCGGTATGGAACTCACGGTTATTTTGAATACCGAAAGCAAATTTGAGTGAATTTTCAAGAGAGATAATAAAATGCCAGTGTGAATTCTTCAAACTAAAATTTTATTAACAGCCATAACTATCAGCTCAGTTGACGTCTCTGGAACCCGAGACCGAGATATAGCCAATACTTCTCAGGGTGAAACCGTCCGACCAACACGACACCCCAAAATTGAATACCGCAGCACTTTTCCCGGCGTCCGGTTGAAATACGCTATGCGATTGGATAACGAAATATCAATTTATTATACGGAACGAAATAGCGCGCTTTCTGTGGAAAATTTAAGATTGTAAAGAAGCAAGAGAGAATGATATTTGGGAGAAAGAGAGATTGCTAAGGATTGCAAAGCAGAATGACATTAGGAGAGCAAAGAATGACGTTTGATAATTACAGATGTGAAAGATGGATTGTAGTGGGAGAGCGGGATAGAACGAAAAGCTTTTTGATATAGTATGTAATGCAAGGTTAGAGATAGATAGAATTAATGAATAACACGGATTTAATGTTGCAGCAGTGATAGAGAGCATGGTTTGGTAGAATTAATAAATGATATTTCTTCCATGAAGTTCGTGACAGTGTGGGTATTTGTTGATGTCTGACGTTTGAAAATCTTTGAATTTCGTAAAAAGTATAAGTGAGATTTGACGGATCGATGGAAAGTGTACTTAATGAATTCCCGCATATTTGGGAATTACATTCGGTACTGATACATTGTTATGCTGATCTGTGTCAGCATTTTCAATGTTAACAAATAATTTTTAAAAATATTTTTTATTTTTTTTTTACTTTTTCTTATTGAAATTTTTAAATACGAGAGGAAAGAATAAACGAATTGAATTCAGGTGTCTAAACATGCATTTTATGATGTTTTTAATGCACGCTTATGTTGTCACCATTCTTCTTTCCTTTTTGAATTTGATAAATTCTAGTTTTTGCTTTCCTGTACGATAAATATATGTTGTCAGAACTAATTTATGAATGGCTGTTGGAGTTAAACGGAGTTAACTTAGTTTGATTAATAAACTATACTGCTTAAATTAAATTGAGCTGAAATTAGCTCATCAGAGTTAAGCTAAGTTACTAAATTCGGTTGGATGGAAATTAATAGGATTTATTTGGTTATTTGATTACAGTTCGGTTGAACTAACTGTAATCAGGTTAGATTAAATCGAAATTTATTGATTCAAATCATTTCATGTTTACCGTGCAATATAATCTGATTTTCTCTTGCTTATTCTCAGGAGAACGACTCAAAATGTTAATCAATTCATCACAGATTCTATTATTTTACCAAACAAATGTTTGATGTTATAAAATTCGAAATATTCTAAGTGGACAAACTGCTATAGCCGATCCTAGTTATGTTAGCTCAAGATTTCCTGAAGAAGGATGATCGTGGCTTTCTATCAACTTCTTCCAAGTAAGTTAATGTAATTTAAATGTTAGGCATATGAAAGGCAATTTCTTGAAGAAATTATTATACAACGATGTTTAGCTGAGTTTTTTGAAAATTTATTTTGTTTCGATCTTTTTTAATGTTGTTTTGACTTTTTCTTTTTTGTTTACTTGACTAATTTATTGGTTTTGATTGTTTTAATTTTATTTAACTGTTTTTCTTTTAAGCATTTGAAATTGATAATTACGGTTGTAGTGGTTTGGCTGACAAGAATAATTCATAATAAATGATATAGAGTGGTAAATGGTGTGAAATCGTCTAGAAATTATGCCGTTGAAAATACCACCTAGATTTTACTTGCAAAATTATTGAAACCACTTGCCAGATGTAATAATTTGTTAGGAAATTTATACCTGATAACTATCTGTATTTTATAACAATCAATTTATCAATCCTTACGTTGCTCAAAATATTGATTTTTGATATTAAGTTATAGAAGTGGCGATCAAAGACATGAATTATTGATTTCTTTATTTTATATTGGACAACAGTGACATTTGGTAATAGTTTGATTTACTTGGTATATTGTAGGTCAGCATTTTACTTCGGTCTATTAGTAATTGTCAAATTTCTCCGCTGCATTGGAATATTTATTATTGATATATTAGCTAAGCAAGTTCACGTTGTTGGACTGCTTTGGCTTTTTAAATTGGTGTAAGTTCCTTTTTGTTCATTAAAAAATCATGGCGCTTTGCTTGACTTATTATGAGCTGTTTTCCTGTTATCGCTAGGAATTTTAATTATTAACAGAACGATATATTATCTTTCCTATCTGTTAATAATTAAAATTGAGCAGATTGCTTGCTTGATTTACATTTGCATCAAAATTATGAAGTTATTTTAGTGCTTCATGCATTCTCATTCCGTTTCAAAAGCCATTCAACAATGGGAAACCGTTGAGAAGGGTTTTGGTAAGTCTTACTTCGAAATTTTCATTCAACATAAATCGCGATCTGGATGTACCGACGTTTTGCATATATAGATAATTTCACATTCTTAAATGTTTCATTTTATATTGACCTAAAACACCTATATATAAAGTTATGGAAATTAATTTTCTTACTGCAGGGCATCAGGATAGCACAGTTAGCATTGTGGAATTGCTTAATTGAAGTAATATGGTTCTATGGTATTACTTTTTGTGGACCTTTAAGGTATTATAGTTTTCATCACAACTGTGACATTTTTTTTAACGTGTAATAATATCTAGAAGAATGTATAAGTGAGAATGAGAAATTATAATATATGAAATAGTAAGCTTAAGAAAAGGATATGATTTTTGCGAAATTCAGAATTTTTGATCTATTTAACCAAAAAATGCAGTGAATGCGGAATTTTTAATGATAGGAACACATGAATGAATACAAAGATGAATGTTTCGAGTCAAATTTCTGTATATATTATATATTTCCAGATCCATATTGATATTTGAACAAAGTCCATCCGTTATAATGGTTGCTTTGTTAACTTTATTGAAGGGAAGCAATTCATCATCAAAAACTCGTGGAGTGATTGCACTCTTATTGGGTTATCTTTCCTTGATTTTGATGGATAGCGATGCTACTGTCGAGGCAGATCATAGTACATTTTATTTCACTGCGAATTTTATAATTTTAATTTTGTGCTCCGTTGAAGGATTCTTTACTTTTAATCAATGTAATTAGAATTTCATTAAATTTTGCATAATTTGTAATCCGTGTGGTGAATTACAACTGATAGAGTATGTTGAAACCGTTGTTTCAACTTTGAAATCGTT